ACTTGATCTTGAGTGACCTTCAAAATCAGGTCAAAGTCATTAATGTTTTTTAATTAGGTAACCCCTATTTTTTATTATTATATTCTTATAGTTTTCGATCTCGAGAGCTTTCCAAAACATAATAAAGTTACTTTTCGTTAAGTACTTGTTAAGTTATAAGGCAAGACTGATCAGTGATCCGGTCAATTAAGACAAAACCGATCACTGATCCGGTCAACTAAGGCAAGATCAATTCAAATATGTCTTTAGCCGTTAATAAGATGAATGGAGCTCCATTTTTTTGTAGACATAGCTTCAACCGTTTCTTAAAATTTTCTACTGTTGAAAGTAAGATATTTCGAGTAATGCTACGACAAACATTAGTTATTCGATTTTTTATGTCTCCTGCAGAGTCGGCGGAGTTTTATAAACAATATTTTTATGTAGTTCCACAAAAAAAATCACATGAAGTTAAGTCAGGAGACCGTGGAGACCACCGAATATATCCATATCTCTCTATTCATCTTTCATGAAAGATGTAATGTTGAGGTATTCCACAATACGATGAGAATGGGGTGGCGCACCATCTTGCTGCCACCACATTTTGTGTCGAGTAGCAAAATCAACCTCTTCTAAAAGCTCAGGCAATTTATTCTGCAAGAAAGAAAGGTAAGTTTCATTTATCAAAAAAGTATGGACTAATCAAATATCCAATTCCGCACCAAGTATTTAAATTCCAACGATGTTGATTATCAACGCATTGAGTCCAGTGAGGATTATATGTGGACCAATAATGATAATTATGCCTGTTGAGTTGTCCATTATTATGAAATGAGGCTTCGTCATTGAAGAGAATATACTGGAAAAACTTGGATCTTCTCTTATCATTCGTAATGTCCAACGACAAAATTATCTTCTTAGCCTCATATCATTTTCACTTACATCTTGGGTTAAAGTGATATGGTAAGGATGGAATTTATGTCTTTGTAAAATCTTTCACACAATGACATAAGAAATTCCTAAATTATGTTGCAGTTCTCTAGTCGAAATATGAGGATTCCAGTTTATCATTGCTAGCACTGCTAATACACGCTCATTAACTTCTTTCATCTTCAACATTTATTTGCTTGCAGTTTCTGTTACGGATTCTTCTACGCTTCGTAAATTCTTTTTATCTGCATTGCATTTGGATGTCGCCTAAACGGATATCTATTACGATACAATCTTTCTGCTCTACAATAAGAGCTAATTGTCCAGCTTCACCAAGCATAAGAATAATATTAACGATTTCATTTGAACCGTAAGCGGTCATTTTGAAAAAAGCTTTGAAAAAGCCCATTAATATAAAAAAATTAAAAGAAAAAGCTATACGAAAAAAAGAGGAAAGTTGAATTGTTCAATTGGGAAGGATTGAACTCAATTCTATGCGCGTAAGCGTATGTCAAGCAGTGTGGATCGCGGAGACGCGCGCGCGTAAGAATCCCGCTCACACGCGCATGCATACATGGATAACGTCGGCGGTATTGTAATTTTCAAGCTCCATAATTCGGAAAGTACTCAATGAAACGTAACTTTATTATAGTGTTTTGGAAAGCTCTCGAGATAAGCTACAAGAATATGTAATAAAAAATAGGAGTTTCTACTTAAAAAAACATTAATGATCTTGAACTGATTTTGATAAGGTCATTCAAGGTCAAGTCCACATTTTCATCATGTGTCCCTCTTCAAGCAACTTTTCGTTCAAAAAATTTTTCAATAAATCATCGATTCGCAAGATAATCGATCATATCACTTAAAATGAAACACCCTGTATATATATATATATATATATATATATATATATATATATATATATATATATATATATATTGTGCTAATTTATTTTCCTCGTCGATTTCATTTCCTAAATGTGCTTGCACTTGATAATTCTGTTCGTTACCTCTTCTGTGAGATAACAGAGACGACACGTTTACTTTTTTTTATACGAACTAAGTTTTCTTAAATTCTATTTTTTTTTTTTTCAATTTTATTTTAATTCTTAGGAGGAAGATTTTTCCGAGTTTTGTTCCCGGAACATCTGACAGTAGCTAAACGACAGCGTGTCGGCAAATTTTTACAAAATTATGGCATTAAGTTAATATTTCTTATGATCCATAAGATTAAAGCTTAATTCATTTTACCTTCATTTTACGATATCATTAGAATGTAACTGGAACGACAATATGGATCGTAATTTTCGTGCTGCTTCATTAAGAATCTGAAACCTCTTAAATTTATATCAATAGCTTTGGAACATAATGAATGTGAATTTTATGTGTTCTAGATAACTACGGTCGAAAAACATTTATTTGAAAATTTATGGTAAAATATATTTAATAAAGCAGTGTGACTTATAGATTACGCGTTATTTCGACGATACATATATGTCTCTTGATATATCAATGTTAAAAATGTTCCAAAGATAATAATTGTTGTTAATGAGAGTTTTGAAATCTATATGGAATTGATTGCGTAATGTGACTACCTTGAGCTCTATATGAGCTTCAGAATTTATTTATGAAAAAAAAACATATGATGTAAGTAGAATTAAAATACCTAAATGTTCTTCGATTGGAATCAGAGTCTACATTAGATCCACATAAATCTATAATTTTTCTCTTTATACCACATAAAAATTGTTTGACGAGGAAGCAACGTAAACAAATGAAGACGGAAGTACAAATGTTAAACGAATGATTAAAAGATAACAATCAAAAAACATATTTTTTTCTCTTACTGGATTGAGTGATAATTCGAATAAATAATTTCTGACGCAGATGGCAAGATATTTTTGAATAAAAAGATTTTGATCACTTGAATGACTCAGAAATTATTATTACTAACATTCAGAGATTCAGAAAAAATAAGCTTATTATTTGCGTCAGAAAGGAAGTTATATATGTACATAAATACATATACATATATATATATATATATATTTATAACTCTCTCAACAAGAACATATCGATTTTACAATATTTATGTAATGAGAATAAATCTTCTTTAATTTTGTAAAGGTTACAATACGAAAATAATTATCAAATTACTTATCAAATTCTTCTTATAATTGTAAAATTTGTGTTTAAAGGTTGTGTCTAAAGATCCAGAAGAATAAAATCTACTTGCGTACTGTCTAGATTAGTGCACCTCTCGTTCGTACGTTACTTAGATTACCAAAAAGTGTCCTAATGCAAGATTGTAAATAGTATTGATACTGTATGTTCTATCAATGTTCTCGCAGCAGATTGATAAAACATATAAAATATAAAAAAAATGAAATATACGTTGATCGTAAATGTTGCAAACAGTGTATTAATCATGTATGGAATTCTTTAATTTAAATACCACCTATGATATAAATATAAATATGATATAAATATCGTAATATAATAGATAATAAAAAAGGATTAGACAGGGATATATTCATATGGATACTGTTTTCAGGAAGTTATTTTGAAAAAGACTTTTTTATATATAGCTTGAGAGTATGAGTTAATTTACTTGATAATCTTACAGCTTACAAAATTACAATGCGTAACATGAATAACATACAACTTATTTTTCTTTCTGAAAACAATTTTATTTTAAGAAATCGAAACTGTTCAAACTGTTGCAACTACATTTTTCAACTTGGTGTTGTATTACAGTAAGATGGTATCGCTTTCAGGCATTACCCACTTTTACGATAGACAAACTGGATTATCTGTTTTTATTTTTTGTGAGAATAGGAATGGTATACATTTATAAAAAACATACAATGAGGATTCTCTAATCGTGATATACATATATGTATTATATGTAAAATCAAAAAAATATGTAATGTTAAAGAGAAATGCATCAGTTAACACATTGGAATCAATACATCAATGATTGATTTTTAAACTCTGAAATACCTATTCTAATGTTGAAGATGCTCGTATATTCTGAACACTCACTAAAATATAGGATGGTACTGAAAAATTTGAGCTCGTTGCGTGTGTCTTTTCGCTATATCACTCAGCGATACTAAGCGAGTGTGTTTGTGGAAGAATATGGATTTCACACAAAAGTCTAACACATATCTCTTATAAAACACAGTGTTGACTATGTAACGAAGCAAAGAAGATTTCAAAATTGGCAAATTCACTATTTAGAAAAATCCACACTGCAAATAAAACTTATCCTCTGATAACAAGAGAAGTAAGTTGACTTAAAAGGTTACAATTCTGGCAGACAATTTCTTTAGTTTCTACAGAATTAATCAAATTTGAATTTTTGTGCTATAACAAATTATTAGTATCGATGAGAGAATCTTGGTCGATAGGAATGGATGAAGTAGGACAATAAAGACAGCAAATAGGTATGCAACAGCTAAATAAAAATGCAGTCATTACAGTGTATCTAGTTGATCTACAACTCTCCGCAATCCGCTATTATGATCTTTTTGGATGTTTTTCCGCTCTGGGAACCCATAGCCTCCAACTGAAAATAATACGCATAAATAAATAATGCATTCTAATTGTAGTATTAAAAAGTTCAATGATAAAGTGATAAAGTGATTATCCTATCAATTAAGCGAAAAATTTAAGTTTATTTTTGATCCTGCTATTCTACATAATTTTAGAAAAATATTGTAATAAAAAAGAACTAAAAGCAAAACTTAACCTTATGATAATCAAATAAATAAATCGTGCATATTAAAAGCCGGTTAAAACAAAAATCTCTGGATAAAATAAGAAAAATATAAGAGAAAATACGCGATTTTATGTGATCGAGAACAGACATATTCAATAGATCTCGGATCCAATCCTGACCTTTACTTCGCTTGGTGTCTCAGTTTATATAAAATTAGAGACTTAAAAATAATAAAGGAGCATGAGATGGGAAGACACGTAGCTTTATGTAAAAACGACTGATTTGTAATAAGTATGTTACAAGTTCAAAACATTCTTACATTCTTATCTTACATATCTGTCATAAAAGAAAAATTATTTACAAATTCAAGGATTTTCATTTCTTAAAATTGCTGGTTTGGATCACTAAAAATATAATATTTAGAAAGAATTAAGAGTTAAAAAATCTAATAGACAAGATGAAATATAGATAACAATATATGAAATATGATAACAAAAATGTGCGTTAGGTCATCGACTATAACTGTACAATATCATTAGAGAAAAGAAATCATACTTTTCTAACAACATCCATTCCCTCGATGACTTTTCCGAAAACGACGTGCTTGCCGTCGAGCCAGCTAGTCTTGGCACTTGTAATGAAAAACTGGCTGCCATTAGTGTTGGGGCCAGCATTTGCCATAGATAATATGCCAGGTTCGGTATGAGTCAACTTAAAGTTCTCATCTTCGAATCTGGCGCCATAGATGGATTTTCCACCAGTGCCATTGTGGTTGGTAAAGTCACCACCTTGACACATAAAATTCGGAATCACCCTGTGGAAGCTGCTACCCTTATATCCGAAGCCCTTCTCTCCAGTACAAAGTGCACGGAAGTTCTCCGCCGTTTTGGGAACAACATCCTTCCTCAACTAGAAAATTATAACATGATGCAATTAAAATAGTTATTTATTCTATACATTTATGTAATAAATATATATGTTTTATATTAATAATAAAAATTTTTAAAAATTAAGATAATCAATAATGAGTTATTATTCATAAAGCAACAAGAAAAAATTATTTGTTTTACAAATTAGCTTGTAAAAAATATTAATATAGTTAAAGGAAAAAAATGATAAAGGATAAATATACACTCGCTCTGCTTCCGCCATCTGTATTAAAAATTCTAAACTTGCGTGTTAAAAAGTCGATGCTTTCGCATTATACGGAATATCAAATTGCAATCGCGTGCGAAAAATCTATATTTAGCTTAATATAAAGTTTCCAATTATATAATGCGTCGATTAATAACAACATCGAGATGAATATTCGAGATGGAATTTCGTTCAGTGGAAAGATTCATTTTTTTATAAAGATTTATCCCGGGTATAAACATGAACATTCTCAATTTGTGAAAAATTTTCGAAAGTGAAGAGAAAGAACATCTTATCTTATCGGCCATAATAAAATCATGGAAAATGTAAATAAGCTTTTTTTTTCACTTTTTTATCTCGAATCGAACAACTATAAAATATTCGCGAACGTTCCGTGAATCTTCGCCCTTCGAATTCGATTCTCCTCGTGCTGATATTAACAAAATCATGCGCGCACGTACTCTCGCACGCACGCGGGACAGCCAGCCGGTCGCTCGTAATCAATGGAAAATTTCGTAATGGCTAAAAACGTGTGCGTGCTAGTGCGATCGTGACGCATCACGACGAACGCGATCACGCTCGTTGCGGCTCCGCGCGATCGCGTCCTCCTCACGGCGACGATGCTCCTCCGGTCGCGTTCGTCAATTTATTCCGCTACACTCGTGGGATGACGATGACGATCGGCGACGTTGATGATGACGATGAGAAGAGGAGAATCGCCGCACGAGATGAGATCCGGCTAAAATCACGAACCGGCCCGGTGGAAAAATCAAGATGGCCAGACATGCCGGGATCGCGAGGAGCGCGCACGGTGCGGAACGGTCGGCCGGAGATAATGCCGCGATCGCACGCTAATTTCGGCTCACCTCCATCACGATGCGGCCTACGGGCTTGTCGTCCGCGGTCATGTCGAAGAAAACGCGTGGCAGTGCCATTTTCTTAGCTGCTGCGGCGAAACTTCGTAGGAGCGTGTCGAAGGACGGTCGTCTCGGCCGGGCGGTGGCTCCGAAATGGCTCGACTGCCTGAAGGTCGAATCAATTGACAGCCGGCAAATCGATCTCAACGCCATTCTGCCGTTACTGAAAACCCGCCGGAAATCGATTCCACGAGACTCGATCCGGGCCGTTCACCCCGCGCCGTCAGTTTTGACAGTTTTACAGGCTTTTCGCCGGTTATTCCGCGAAAATATTATGTAATAAAAGGAACGTTTTCGGTTACAAATTGGCTGCCATCGAATGAGATAGCGATTTCGTGGAGACGACCAATCGAGAGCCGTGATTCTCGATCAATCTCGACGACCAATCGAGTGTCTCCTCGTGGAATTTCACTGTCGCATTCTGCTATTAGTTAGACTGTCAAAATCCCTAGCAAATGAATTAGTAATTTTTTTTTGTCACAATCTTATATTCGCATTGTTAAAGATTTACTAATTTTACGAATATTAGCGTTCAGCAAAACATTTATTTTGGAATTGAAAGTTTTTCTTGAGATTGGATTATATCTTTATCAGATCTAGAGGAATAATTCAATTTCAGCTTAGAAAATTTTCAGTTATAAAAGAAACATTCTAATAGAAACATTCTGTATGCGACACATATTAATTGTATCGATCATAATCATCAATAAATAAAGTGTCCGTTTAAATAAAAAAAATAGAACTATTAAAGAAAACTGCTATCTTTTTCTAATAATTGTAGATTATGCAAAACCTCATGATTTTATTAATCTTTCACTTTTTTCACTTGTTGTAAAAAGGAGGAAAAGAACATAGATTTATAAATTATTTTTATTAATTATTACGTTTAATTTGTTACCATGTTTAATTTCCTTATAAGTTTGTTATTTTTATATCTATTTATGTGATGTTTTGTATACGAAATGTTATCACACCATAGCTTTGTATCTTCGAGGTGCTAGAAATCTATCTGTGGTGGATCATTTTTTTACCCTATGAGATGAATTATCGATTATACGTTTATGGACTTAGCGGCACATAGATGGCGACAGCATGCGAACTGTTGCAAACGCGAAGTACAGGCATTTGAAAGTAGATTAAAATTTCATTGAATTTTATTTTTCTCAAAATAGAGAGAGATATTTTGTCACATATTTTTCTACATGAATAATAAATGTAGTACTATATCATATGTATTTTCAAAAATAAGAATATGTTGGAGTCATATTATATAAGAAAAGTATTTTGATTTGTTGATATCTAATGTATATACTAAATCTTTAAATCAAAATTACATGTTTTGAATTGTTTAAAAAACTTGATTAAAAAATATGACATTAAATCTCTTGATAAAAAATAAAAAAAAAAAAACCGAGCATACGAACGAGACTGTTGATTATTGATCATCTTTTGTATTGAAAAAAAACTGAACCTTTGTGAAGATACAAAAATTTGATGTACGATTCATATTACGCTTCGACAAAACTTTGCATATCACTCTTCGAATTTGACAAAAGGGAAAGCGAAGGATTTTTGGTCATATGATTCTCAAGGCGAATCATACGACCAAACGATTAGCGGAGAAAATCGAAGGCTAGTGATCGAATCGAACTCTCATTTAATTGACGATTAATCTAATTGGAAGTGAATTATAGCGAAACTTTCAATTATATTATTCGTCATTTTTAATTTAATATTATTTCATAATTATACTATTTTAATTAATCTAATTATTAATTATTCTATCTTAATAAAATTTTAAGAAATTAATCGTCATCAAAGCCAATTGGATTTAGCCTAAAAGAACCGTGCACTTGAAATAAATCACATAGGCAGCAAGGTCTGATGCTTGTCATCGATTGTGTATTTTTTTTTGTATATTCTATGTCTTCAATCATCAATTTTCTTGTTCCTCGTTTGTCGTTTTCTTTTATTTCTTTAAGGTATATCATTGATACGGTTACAAAGGTTTGACAACAATCTTTCCAATTATCTACAGTTAGGCTGGAACACCCACTATTCAGAAACAGTAGACAGGTATCATTTTATCCTTGTTTCTCATCGAATGTGGTTAAACAAGGATAAAATGATACCTGAGTATACTCGAGTATTATTTCTGAATGCATTTGTTATGTTACCATACAACCATGCAACGCACAGCGTACCCTCATCCCCATCGAAGAATGATCTTATGAGAAAGTTTTTATGAGGATCGAGGAGTTACAATATAATAACTTTGAAAAACATCCCGTAACTATTATATAGTTAGCCAACACTATTAGTTGACAGAATAATGGCCATTGTTGATCCGATGTTGGCTGATGTAATGAATTTATGTTACCTGGGATTCATTTGTCATTTTTATTTTGTTTTTTTTGCTCACGTACCAATTAATTAGTTTCATTTTCTTTTGAAAATCAATTCTTATGAAAAATTGTCGTTTCTTTTTTTTTATGTCTTGGTTGAGTATTATACACTGTAAAACATTTTTTATCGTGAAACATTTTGAAATATTCGCAATATAAGACACATATAACACACCATTCGGTTTCAACAATGGTTTTCTGTCTTCTATCAAGATCATGTAGAAAATGGAAAATTCTTTTGTAGGCCCAAATCTTTGAAGAAATAAATCCGTGCATGCTTAATATATTTGAAAGCCCTAATAATATTTTGAAAAATCCTTTTTGGGATATTTTATGTATATATACTCTGGCAAAATAAAAATTGGAACGTGAGTTGAATGTAAGAGAAGAGTGACAAAAGCATAAGCAAACGTTCTAGGGAACATAGATTGGAATTTAGAGAAGTGTTAAACAAGTATTAAAACGCTTCTTTTATTTCTTTAAATAAAGCTTACGCTTTTACGTTTCAATCTATGTTCCTTAGAACGTTTACTTACGCTTTTGTCATTCTTTCTTTACATTCCATTTACGCTTTTTTCATTTTCGCCAGGGTAAAAAAAAATGAAAAAAATCAGTTTTTTGAAACAAAGATCTTTTACAAATTAAAAAAGCTCTTTAAAAATTGGTAACTCTCTTATGCTTTCTTTCTCTTCTTTCACTGTTCCGAAATCATGATAGATCGTCTGCGAGGCGGCTCAGAAGCAGACTAACAATCATATTGAGAAAAAAAAATTGCAAAAGGTTGCTAATAATTGAAAGTTTATTTATCAGAAATAAAAAAATTTTCTTTTTCATTTATTTTAATTGGTAAGACACGTAATTTTTTACTCCGCGAACGTTATGTATCTCATGTTTTTTTTTGTAAGAATTATATGCGCACGTGTGCGTTTACACGAAAAAATTCGCGAGCAAATAAATCGACGCGTGCGCGTCGAAGGACACGATAATCGCGATTATGCAGTTTTAAAAAAAAAATTGCCACTGTTTCTGATAATACCGCGCCACGCAGAAGCATGGTAGAATTATGTCATGTTAGAACGACATAAGAAGATGATGCACACTGTTTTCAGATCGTTTATCAATTCGCATGACGTGACATTTTCTCGGAGCGGATAGAAAAAAGAACAGCTGCGACGTTTCTAGGATCAACAATGCGAATTCGAGAAAAAAATCGATTCCTCGATATAAGCGATTACGGTTTTTCCTCAAATGTCGCAAGCGGTTTTTTTACTTCCACCCGGAAGATAAACGCTTGATGCATCGACGCAAGTCGTTACGTGATTGTAGTAACGAAGTAACGTAAAAATAGCGACGAGGAAATTACCGCGAAAATGATCGCGGAATATAAAATGAGGTAGTTAATCAGGGCACGAGGAAACGAGGAGCTTTTTTGTGCTATTCAATTTCAAAATTAAATTAAGGCTTCACACGAAAGTTACATTTTTTTTAAATTCCGAAAGATTGTGGTGAAGGCAATTAATCTAGATACTTTAATAATTAGTTATTAAATGGTTACGCGTTTTAGAATTTTAAATGAGTAAAGGAGTTAAAATAATAAAAATGTATTTACTTTTGTAATGATTACATTGAGATATTTTGATTTCAGAAGATGATACACACATAAATTAAATATGATTACAATAGAGATATGTGAATTAAGGATTAATATAATACAAATTAAAATATTAATACAAATTGAATTGAGTTTTATTTTTCTCAAATCCAAATTGAACTCTTTAGAAATCAACAAAATTTTATCCGAATCAAATTAAATCGATTTGGACTGATTGAAAATAACTTTTAATCAACATAAATATTATAAAGTTGAATTTAATTAAAAAAATGTAGCAATATATAAATATACAGAGTGTATAAAAAGTATTGAGACGGCGAAATATCTGGAAAATTAAACATTTTAGGAAAAAGTGTTTCAGGTAAAAATACGACGTGACTCGTGAAACTCTTGAATAGTTCGGATTCAAATTATAATAATTCAGATTAAGTCGAATCGAAATTTTATTTGATTCGAATTCTACTCTGCACATCTCTAGCGGATCTCTATTTTATTTACAATATTACCGCCGTAGAGATCCTTTCCTGGGCCAGGTATCGATCGCGCGTGTGATCGCGTGTGATGGTGGAGGTAGTCGCGAGTGGGGGAGGAGAGAGAGAGAGAGGAAGGGGAACTCAAGGGTAGGAGTCGGCGCGTCTCGGTTGCAAAAGGAAGCGCGAGTCCACGAAACACGTATATACACGGTGCCCGATGACTCGCCGCGGCAAACGCGCGTCACGCTGTTTCACGGGAGGAGAGGTGCGTCATCGTCGCTTCGCGTCACCGTCGCGGTGTATTATATGCTTCGAACCCGCGCGTGTCTCGTCATTGTCGCCGCTTACATAAGTCGCGTTTTAATAATACGCGAGACTCCGAGACGTCGGAAGTGCCGATCGATCGCATCGTTATCGCGCACGTGTGCCGCGACACAGGGCGACACGACCGAGGGATTGCGTCCGTCGCGCGGGGTGCGAGGAACGGATGCCACGACGAAGAAACATCGAGTATTCGTACGAGGTGCGAGCAGCGGATTCGAGAGGTCATCCCGTGGCATGGTGACCGACATCTCTCCCGCGTCGACACGGAGCCTCGCGAACGCGCCTGCACGCGCGGATCACTGCGAGCGAGCGTCACGGCCGTGACGGATGAATGGAGGCCTCAACGGCGGAGGATGCGATTTAAATCGTATGGGATATACCTCGAGTGATACGTACGCGTCGAGTCTTGTATCGCGCGCGTCGAGCCAGCAACTTTGAAATTTCCCGCGTTCACGACGCGCGCCAACGTTGTACGGACATTTTGCGCATTGTGATACGAAAAGAGAAAAGGACAAAGGGATAAAGAGGGAGAAAGGTGACGCAATCAACGATCATCATTCGGCGATTCATAATATAATAATAATAATAATAATAATATCGCGTGAACGATAATAACCGTCGAAACTACTCTCTCTCTCTCTCTCTCTCTCTCGCGGTACTCGCGCATCTATTTCGTGTTTCATGCTTTAGATTCCAGGGCCGGGAATTGCGAGATTCGCCGTGATCTTGACGATCTATAAAACGTATGCTCCGCGTCGATCTTCTCACGTTCTCGGCGTGGGCATGTGGTCGCGTACCACCACCACCACCACACACGTACACATGCCTACACATATGTGCACACATACGCACGTACACATGCGCGTATACGCGATTGTGACGAGCGCGAGATACTCACGCACACGAGATAATACGCGCGCAAACTCCCTCCCATTTTAGGCTGGTCGTCGCGGTCGCCGTGTCGCGTGGTGCCGCGTGGTCGTCGTTTCGATCAGGCTTTTTCCGCGGTTTTTCCGTCCCGACGTGTGCGTGGTGCGCGCGCGCACGTTACGTGCCGTACGCGCGCGCGCGTGTGTGTGTGTGTGTATGGTGGTGTGTGTGTGTGTGTGTGTGTAAGTGCGTGCGATTGTATATCCACGCGTGTGCTCTCGCAGTCAGGTGCCGGTAGCTCTTTTTATAACGCCGTATAACACGCGGCCGAAGATGGAGGATACTACGTGTCTAGGCGTGCAAGACGGCATGAAGATACCCGATGGCGCTGTACTGGTCGTCACGTTGATTGTCGCCGGTATCGCCATCATGCTCCACTTTATCGTGAGCAAGAGATCGAGTTCCCGTCAGGCCTCGTCGAAAAGTAAGCATTCTCCCCTCCCCCCTCCCCCTCCCCCGCCCCCGCCCCCGCCCCCGCCCACAGTCATCGTTTTTCCGCATACACATAAGCGATACATGCACGCGACTTCGCGCCAAGCGGAAACGGGCGTACTTTAATGTCTTTATTTGCATAGGCGGCGCTCCAATTCATTGGTCAGGTCAGGTCTCATCTTTCTCACCTCGGCACGTGTTATCATTAATCATTTTTGACACACGTTTTCATTGTCAAAGCTACTTTGACGATGCCCCGTCAACATATTTGGCTCTTCTTCCTGATTGATTGAAAAGAGTAAAATACTAAAAATAATAAGCAAATAGCATTGTTAATTTTTTACACGGAAAGAAAGTTTTGCTAAAAAAAAGAAATGAAAAAATATTGACCTGATACAAATCCGAAAAAAATTCCGTTGGATCTTCAAAATTATTATTACGACGTTCAAATTGATTACTAGAAGATTAAACATTTTTGCAGTATTATTATCACGCTTAAGGGTCCTAGATAATAATTAGTGATAGTTCAATAAATTTGTTTTCATACCTGTATCTGGCCAAATTTTTAGATTTGTCAGAGCTTTGTCAAAATTATTCTTCCCGTGTGTAGATTTCTACGAGATTCGGGTTGAACTTTATAGCTGTGTCGAAAAAAATGAAAGAAAAAGAGAAGTGAAAGCAGCTGTCACAAACAGCTGATTGCGTTTTTAGCTTTCGATTCAAGGAAGAGTAGAAAGATTTGATTGCATAAAAAGCGGTGAACTTTGTCTCGATACTACAAAGAAATACATTCAATTCGAAATCCTTTTATGGATCTTTTATTCCCGATTGATCGAAGATTGACAAAAAATGGAGGGAACATGCGTTTCACCAAGTTGATTTCGTTGTCAAAGATTATAAATATACCTTATAATATACCTTAATATACCTTACAATATACTTTCTTATCAATTTTTTTATATTTTTTATATTTTATATACGAGCAATAAAAAGTTAAAAAATATTAATACATGAAACTACAGCTAATCGCGCGATGTAAATCGTACGGAGCTGTGTTTTTGCAAAAATTGCAAATGATAATTGCAATTGATATATGATTGATTTAACTGAACCAAACGGCATTGTATGTTTGAAAAAAATTTATAAAAAGCAACAAAATAATGACAAAAATCTCATATATATATAATATCAAAAAATGAAGTGCTTTTTAGTGCAATAAAATATAAATGAATAACAGTATGTAGTTGACTAGTCAGCTTTTGAAAATTTAATACTCTTTAATTAAATAAAAAAAAAACATTTTGATATCTATTTCTTTAAATATCTCTGCAAAATCGTTGAAAAACATGATTTTGAAAATTGCGATTTAAAGTTTCGATTTAGTTTCTTAGGATGAAATATTTAACTTACATTAATTAAAAATATAGTATAATAAATAGTATAATAAATAGCTTATAAAAGGATTTTTATTCAATGTATTTCAATCTGTTTGTATTAACGAGTTATAGTTTACAGAATTTTCGCGTATTCAATTTTTTTCTATCTTCTTTGAAGGATTGTTTATATATCGAAAGCGATATACGCATTGAATTAGATTAATTCTCGGTAATTCACATTGAATCCGGGCGAATTTTCAGCTCTCTATTTAGAATGTTTTATTGAAATTTTTTATTGTATTAAAAAAGATGTATTGTCTGTGATTTAAAATATGTCTACTTTGTTGATTAATTGAAGTTCGAAAATTTAAAAAAATTGTAAATTTCATTTCAGGATCATTAATCAATAAAAAGTGGATTTGATTCGTTCCGATAGCGATTCAACAATGCTTGTCAAAATGAAAACAAATGTAATTTTTTTGAAACGAATAAATATGAGGAAAGTTCGTTATCTTTTTAGAACTAGATTTCTAGAAATTTGTCAAGTATTAGTTTTGAATAGCTTGGATGTAAAATATATATTTTAGGTTTAGTTTGAAAGAAATTTTTATTTATTGTATGAGACTGGCTGTATTGACAGATTCGTAAGAGAGAGCTGTTATTTTAGAAATTAGAAATTTAGATATTTATAAATATGCATTTTCTGTCCCACTTTAAAAATTGTGTTTTATTTGTACGACTTGTAGGAAATAGCTTCATATTCATTAATGATGGATTTATGTATTGCAACTATTTTTCCGTTAAGGTATTTCTTTTTAGCGTTTCTGACTGCAGTATGTCTGAAATGATCCGTAAATTCGATCATAAATTCGATACGAATCATAGATTCAGATTTGAAGTTGTATAAAGATTGAAGTTGTATAAAGAAAAATAATATATCGGATTACTAATAGATTATTATGGAATAATATGTATATTTATGTTTTTCTCGAAATATTACACGCCTAATGATTAAATATTATAATCGACTTCATCATAATCCTAGTAACTAAAAGTAAATTATATGACGTCATTATTTGCTATCGGAGCGATTAAAACTTACTGCGATCAAACATGCTATTAGTTATAAGAATAGAATCCAAGTACAGAAAATAAAAAACAATTGCGTTTTATTAATCTGAAATCGATCGAGACGTTTAAACAAATTTGAACTTTTGGCTAATTTTTACGTTTCGCGAATCAGCGAAAAATTCCGTTTCCTCGGTGTCCATTTTTTTTTTCATTGAAAAATTTCCCGTCGCATTTCCCTCTGATAGAAGAGAAAAAACGGCGAGATGCATCGAATGTGAATAATGATCGATTTGTGCAATTAGGTCTCGTTGTGACCGAAGAAGCCGCGTTAAAGGAAACTTCTCCGTCTTACAAAAAAGAATTTAAGAGAAGAGAAAGAAAATGGGAAAGGATATCGCCACGGTCGAACGATGCGCTGTCGCAAGGAAGATAAAGTCTTATCTGGATGAAGTTCCTTCGCGATTGAACGGACGGTCACGTCGTTGATTCGCGTCGCGCGTTTCCCGTTAGCTTCCGCGCGATTCAGTTTGCGTGTCCCATTTATTTCATCTCCGGTTCTTTCCTTTCTGTCCCGTAGTAAATAAAGCCGCGACAGATTGTAGAAGCGCCTTCGCCTTTCGACAGACACACGCGATCACGTTTTCCGTTACGGCCGTTACGCGCGCGTTGAACGAGGCGTCGGTCCCGTTAACGCGCCCGCGCGCGAGCGCGCACGCGCGTGTGAAGTCCGCGTGACGCAATATCGCACGCGGGCGAGTGCGAGCGGAAGGGTCGAACGCGTGGTTATCAAGACGCAACGCGTGCATTCGTGCCTGCGTGCACTAGCACAACACTAGACGTATCGTGACCGTTTAGTTCTCAGAAACCTGAGACCTGCACCGAAATCTAAAAATAAAACAGCTATCAAATTGGAGCATGTATGTAGCAATTTATTGCACGTTGTGTCGTCTCACTTTCTATTCTGTTCCGTTATATATTAAGGCTGCTGATATTTCCTTTATGTCCCGAACTTTTCCGACAAGACAAAAATTTTGCTAAAATATTTTTGCGCTTTGTTTCTGAATTTTCTCCGATGAAATTGTTCTTAAGTTAGTGGTCTTAACAATAAAACAGTATTGGATATTTAGTTTTACATCTTTTAACTCGATATTTGTTAAAATGTTTTCTTTATTTTTAATTTTTAATTTTTTAAATATTTAAATAATTAACAAAAACAAAAGTTTTACATAATAGTTACAGTTTTTAGTTAGTTTTAACCGCGATTTTTTTGGATAAAATGATGAAATAGGGCTAACAGTTTACTTTTCGAATACTCTCGAAGATTCGTCATTTTGACGAAAGTAGTTTGTCTTGAGATTAGAAAAAGGTTTTCAAAATTTGTCCCAATCGTCGAGACTCAAGTGTGAAGATACTTCATTGTTGAATTTTGTGAAAAGTGGGAGACAGTAGGCGTAGCTTTGGACATATGGATTATGATGAGTCTTTTTCGATAGGCCAGAATGAATTTTTTCGATAGTTCTTTTCATTTTTTGGAATTTTATTTGTAATATTAAAGGCTGATTTTTTTATGCAAAAAATAATTTCTCCGCTAAGCATTAATATTAAGCAGTTGTTTTTTTGCATAAAAAAATTGTCTTTTAATATCTTAAATTTAGAAAACAAGAATAAGTTAGAGTTTATGAGATAAATTCAGCTAAAAATTGAAATAAATATTAGTTTTGTGATATTAATTTTTCCTAAAAAATTTTTGAAATGATATGTAACGTACAAATTGTTGTGACTTTTAAAGAGATACATGAAATGGAATTACATGAGGATCGATTGTGTATCTTGAAACGAAATGAAAAATTACAAAAGTAAGAAAATTTACTAGATTTTTATATATAAAGTTACAAACAGTCTAATAAATTTCCTCACCTTTGCAATTTTTACCTTGTTTTAAAATGTACAATTTCGGATGCCTTGTTGCTGATACAGATATAAATTTGAAATTTATTCTTGAATTTACATTATACATAAAAATCTATAATATATAGTATACGTAATCATTTGGATTTTCGTGTACGATATTTTTCGAGAATGAGTCGCCAATTACTATTACACACAGGTGCACGCTAGATAGTAACACATAGTAACATATGTTCGCACATTTTGTGTAATAACACATTTTGTTTTTCTAAAAAAAATGTATAAGTATAAAACCGAAATCAATAAAGTCATTTCTTTTATTCATGCATAACGCATGCGCATCATGCAGAGAAGACAAAACTGACACACACACACACACACACACACACACACACACACACACACACACACACACACACACACACACACACACACACACACACACACACACAATGCGTCATACATAACACATAAATAAAAATAAATTAATTAAATTAATTAAATAAAATGTTGCGAGTATTAAAAATTGTTGGTCGTTTCTTTTGAACTTATGAATAAAACATTGCATTAAAAATATGTAAAATGACGTTAGTAAAACTTTTGGCACAATGACGATTCGAATGAGAATTAATAATAA